TATCCACCCTCTAGTCACACCTACACACACATCCCACATCCATACCCCACACCCACACCCTCAATCGTCGAATAGAAATTAATGCACTGAAATGTTTTTTTTGTTTTTACATTTGATTTTTATTGTCCCTATATAGTGAGGTTTACAATTTTGCATAAATAAACAACAGAAGCGAAATATGAAAGAAAAATAATACGAGAAAATAAACAGAAAAAAAAGAAAAAAAAGGAAGATAAAGATATGGATACGATAACATTTAGGAGAAAAAAGGATAAAGAGTTTAAATAGACGCTTACTAACGACCTCTCGTATTTGTATAAGAAATACAATAAACAGTGGATAAGATGAAAAAAGAAAGATTCACTTTAATGGAGTCAGTAAGCATATTAAGACTAATATATGAAATAAGGAGGAAAAAGATATATTTTAAATACAATAACACAAAAGAAACTAATGGGTTTCATTCTGTGAGTTTACATCATCCACACTGGAGATCTGAGTCGTTAGCAGGTATTTATATATAAAATAATATGTTTGAAGAGATTCCTGTTTATAGTGTCCATATTGCTGAGAATGATCTTTTAAGAACTCAAACAGGTCGTTCTTTGAGTAATGCACTGAATTGTTTCATGATTAGTCTTGTGTATTTTTGAATGATCCCAACTAAGTCAAGTCATACAGAATGAGTAACGATCTGTGTATCGCATATTAAATGAAATACATATGGAATAAATTGTTTTTTCTGCCATCACTCGTCGTCTACTGTATCCTTCAATTTTTTACTGTTGCTATGCGCTGTCCTTCTCATTGGAGCGTTTATTCGAAAAGAATTTAAAAAAATGAAAAAACGGGAGACGAAAGCAACCAAATAACAGGACAGAAAGTGCTCGCGTATTGCAAAAATAATAAACGAGTCATTCGAAAAATAAACCAAATAGTAACACAACAAAAGTAAAAAGCAGCAACAGCACGTCATTCAAACAACGGCGAAGGTTTTACTGATAATTATTTGATTGTCGTGAGTAAAATATTTTAAAAAATTCGAAAAGGAAACGAAATTATTTTAAATCTCCTACCCAAAGTACCAACACGTTCCGGATATCGAAAACTGTTGAGACAGATTTTAACATCATACTGATGAGCAACTCTACTATAGTTGCTCGACTTGTCCACATATGTCAGTTTCGACTTCCTCTCATTGATTTGTCAACAGTTAGGGATGTACTCAGTCTAAACCTCTCGATCTTGATCGTCTCTAACAAGGTCACGGTTACTCTCGACCTTGGTATCAATAAGCGTCAGTCTCCATTACAACTAATGTGAATGCCGCGTGTGCGCAAACGTTTGAGGGTGGGTGGTTGGGTGTGAGAGTTTCTGGGTGTAGTTGTATGCGTGCATAGTGTTTCACCTTAAAACCCACAGCTACCTTCAACGTGCGGATCCTAGCATATTATGCGTTATCTAGGTTTCCGGAAAATTCAATCATTTTTCGGACACTAAATCGATTTCCGGAAACTAAATTTGTTTCCCGGAACCTGAACACAGTTTCTCTAGAATTCAACCATAGACATAATAGGCATAATGACCACAATGGGAATAATGGCACATAATCCCTTATACGGCTGTCCAAGATAGTCAATGATTACCGCCAGAAAATGACTTTCCGTAAACCAACTACATTCCCCGAAATCAGAAATGAACTTCCCCGGGTCAGACGGGGTTCCAAAAATCTAAAATAAATTGCCAGAAATTAAAGCAGTTTCCGGAAATAAAACCGCGGCGAAGAGAGTCAATTTTGTCCTCAAGCACTACATTTCAAACCAATGCAACGTGGTCTAGTAAACTAAAACGCGTACAGATCATCTTCCTCAATGTCGGTGCCACGAAGGGAGTCACCCCACGTCTCTCTCGATGTGGGTGCTCCGAAAGGAATCATGGCGCATCTCTCTTGTTGCGTCTTACACCCATTATACTCATTATGCCCCTTGTGCCCATTATGCCCATTATTTGCACCATGGGCATTTCAAATGTGATACCCATGTCTTTGAAGTAAAATCAGTTTCCTGGAAACATGTAGAACGCATCAAATCGATCCTAGAGAGATGCACAAAGCCACCCCCACATCTACCGCCACTCATTAATCGCGACAACACCAAATACCATACACCCAAAATCACACCCTCTTTTGAGAGTGAGTATGGGCCAATATGTGTCCCTTCTTAGCAGTCACACTTGCAACCACATCGAGATCGCGCAACAAACGGCACAGCCACACCCCATACAGAATCAAATCCGAAGCCACAAACCACACTCGCACTCATAGTCTACACCAGACAGTACATGCCAGGTCAGATTTTTGGACAAGTAAAACTGATAAAACAGAGTTCAAAGTCAGAATACATGATAATCTGGATCGAAATCGAACACACTGAAGTCGAAAAAGAAAATCGTTAGAGGTTTCTGAGAGAAGATGTCACTATGGCCATGCCCAGATGATTATTCAGGTGCTCTTCTTTATTAGTCACACCCTATTCCCATATACATACACTCAATAGACCCACCCATTCATCTAAATGCCTACTGCCAACACCAATCTGCCTCCACATCAGACATCATACACCCCAGGCTCCATTTTTACATCCCACAAAAATCGCACATGCATAACCTACAACCACGCCAGCATCCATACCCGACATCCTACACCCAGCACACAACCCTGGGTGTGGGTGTGGGTGTGGGTGTGGGTGTGGGTGTGGGTGTGTGGGGTGTGGGTGTGGGTGTGGGTGTGGGGATGTTGGTGTGGGGTGTGGTTGTGGGTGTGTGTGTGTGTGGGTGTGTGTGTGGGTGTGTGTGTGGGGTATGTGGGTGTGTGGGTGTGGGTGTGGGTGTGTGGGTGTGTGGGTGTCGGTGTGTAGGTGTGTGGATGTTGCTGGGTGTGGGTGTGGGTGTGGGTGTAGGTGTGGGTATCGGTGCAAGTGTCTCCTATTGATGAATTCCCCCACACGCACACGCACACCTACACCCACACCCACGCCCACACTCACACCCACACCCACACCCACACCCACACACCCACATACCCACAGACACACCCACACACACACCCACACACACACCCACCCACAACCACACCCCACACCAACATCCCCACACCCACACCCACACCCACACCCCACACACCCAC